TGCCTAAATACTATATTATCTCATAATTAACATGATTTTCAGGGTAAATTTTAAAAGAAAATTCTCTCCATGTAGAATACTACAATTGCAGCTAGTTTTAAGTGTTATTATCTAACAACATAACAATAATCACTATTTGCAGGATAAATTTAAAAAAAAATTCTCTCCGTGTATACATATGGCAAATGTTACTAAGATCCTATAATGATTAAGTCAATAAAACTAACTCATTGTAGTTAAACTGGCATTACGATTAAGAACTTTCTTGTGTTAGAGTTCCGTTTGTCAATCCGGTACTTAAGGTGCCGAGTAAAATCGTAGAGAACGCTGCAAATCCGCGCGAGAATTGTGTATTGCGTGTTTAACCTATCTATATCTGTCTGTGGTTACCAAGCTCATTATTAGCTTCGAACGTCCTAGAGAAAGGGCGGCTCTTATCCGCTTCGCGACTTATCCGTTCCGTGCTGTAAAAGACGTTCACAGCCTTTCGATAACGAAAGTGAGCCAAGTAACGTCCTTGACTTTACTTCCTAGTCGATACCTACGTAATACCCTGTCTCTGATTTTCGCAAGAGTTTGCAATCTCTCTTCCTTTACAGTTACAATATATTAATATATTCTTGCTGATATTCCATCAATTAAACTTGTAAGATCCGTTATCATCTAATAAAAATTTACATATACGTATACACATTTACATGAACGCGCGCCCCCCCCCCTTTCATACACAATCACACAAAATCACATTTTACTTAATAATTTAAAAAATAAAAAAATTTAATAAAATTACAATGCAACAAGATTTATGTATGTCTCATTATGTTTTGGAAAGATTGCGGAAATTGAAGTGGGAAGAAAATGTTATTTTAAATAAAAGAATTTTAGTTGAATAATTATTTAGAGTTGAATTTTTGTTAAGTAAAAGAAGTTCAGTTGTGTTATTCACATAGGCGATCTTATTCAAATTATTATTATTATTGAAAAGAATTTTAATTAACAAGTTTCAGAAATTAACATTGTTTCTTTTGCAATATACTACTTAATTTAGCCAATGTGTCTTTCGACATTTAATTTATTACGAGAGAAATATTCACACGCACTGGATTCACCCAACAATATACTCTCTCTGAAAGCAATGATCACTTTAGATTGGTATCTACGACTTTCATCCTTCTCGCCAGGTAATTAATGGCAATCGAATATTTACGTGTGTGCATCGAGACATGACCATCGCTGACTGGAGGACTGGTGTAAATACATGCGGAAGTCAGAAAGTCGCTACCAAGATTTCACAAGATGCAGCACGATAATTAAATCATTAAATGCATGTTGACATCATATCTAAGTGAATGCAACACAGAACATGGCTGTATAGCAACTCTGATTACCAGGTATATCAAGATGTTTATAATTTTGCATATATTTTCCTGGTAAAGTTATTATATTAATCTTTTTTTTGCACTCGTAAATATGTATTAGCTTTAGGCTTTCAGTTCTATTTATAATATTTATTTGCTAGATCCTATCCGCATCAATTTATTTTATGGACTACCATATTTTACATAGAATACGTATCAAAACTGGAAATACAACTAGATGGAGGGTGATTTTGTGCGAGAAAAATAGAGAAGAGATTAATCCTACGTGTCAATTTCACTCGCGATGTACTTCCCTCAGGATACTTCATACTCTCTCCCTTTCACTATCTTAACACTCGCTTTCATGTTTCTCGATGAATGCAACTGACTGAATGCCATGCTATCTCCGTTGACAGGGATGTAAATTTACGAGTTAATCGACAGAAAATTGAGGATTGAATTTAGGCAATTAATCGTGTTATACGTGGAGAAAATGAGTAGCACTGATTGTTAATAAAAAAAATTAACATCTGTATATACATTAACTGTTTATTTTTTTATTACTAATCTTGACAAGAGACACACGAGCAAGTATTATAAATAAGGCTTATGTGAGAATGTAAATATCAAAATAATCAGCTATATGCAGCCAATTTACATTTACAGCACGACAATCTGCAATCTCTTTCGAATAGCGTCCTTTGTCTCTTTTGGTACGTACGGATTCTTCAATGGGTCTTCGTTTACCCTGCAAACATAGCATTAGATAAATACAAAGAATAACTCTATTAATAAATTATATTTGATTAATTAACGTATATTATAAAATCGTTACAAAACGTTTCCATTGTTTTCTTTGACTCTCATCGCAGAGATCTGTATTGAAATAATCTAAAAAAAACTTTACCTATAAAGAGATGGTGCATCAGCGCAATTAACATTGTACCACCAGTCGCACGCAAATTCATGTTGATTAAAAAGTGTTCCATTAGTGCATAAAAAGGAGGCACCCTGATGCCCCTCACGCCCGTCATGGCAAACGTGATATGCCTGTAACAATATTATTGCATATTATATATACACGTATATACATATATAATGTACATAAAAAATTAAACGGTACATAATCTTATCCAAAATTCATTTAAAAATTATTTTAAATTCACGCACACACACAATTGGAATTTCTATATATCGATAATGCGGAATAAAGAAAGCCGTGTAACTGGTGTAAACTGGTCGAATAATAAGGCTAATATGATGCCTTTCTGTTACATAAACGTCGTAATTAAGGAATTAATGCGAAACACGTTGTGCAAGTTTACTGAAAATAATAGGAGCGACGTGAAACGGTAGGAAAGAAGTCAGGTTTAAGGAAATACAAAGGAAGCAAATGACATTCTTGAAAAGGAAAGTTTAGCGCGCGCGCTCTGGAAATCAAGTTGCGATGCATGACGGGGCATTTGAGTCACGTAACGTCATTTATGTCAGTGCGTTTTTATTGTTTATGAAAAGAACCGGCGGCATCCTGTATTTTTCCATGACAATATATTATTGTCGTCATAACATAAACTTCGGGTTACTTCGCGTTACAGACAATCAATTAATTATCAGAGGTAATTCGTGAGAAGGGACATCTTTTTCGAAAGATGCTACGCACGAAGATCGTTGAAAGGAAGCAAGAGAAGACAAAGTTATATATTCAGCGTATCTCTCGACACACCGCGAGGGGCTGAATCAAGCTCAATTACGATAACAATTTGCCAAGACTGTTCTCCCGCTGCAGAGTTTGTCTTTCACTGGAAGCGAGATCGGTTCTTACTCCCGCGTTGCCTTGAGGTTTTAATAATGCCAGCCCGTTCTCTTACATAATAAATCCGCTCTACTTTGACCGCGCGCGCGGCTCACGCTGCGCGCGGTCGAAATCGCTGGAATGATTTTACCTTGCTCGCCGAGCGCGGCTCCGTCGTCGTTTTGTACGACAGAACACGACACGGAAAGCGCATAATACCTCATGGAGAACGTCAGTTTACAAATACATTATTATCATTGGTACCTGAGGTACCGCGATGGGTTATCTTCAACATTTATTTAATTCCGTTTTATTTATTCATCGAATATAATCCGTTATAAATGCTACGTATTTACATTTTGACATCAATTTCACGTGGCTAAAATGCAGATGTAATATAAGCTGGGTATAACATCTTTTTATTTGCTTGCAAACCAGTTGTACGCGAAACAACGCGTTACTTATATATTTTTCTACCTTAACGCTGCTGAAGTCCTCGCGATGTACGTAATACGTTTTTAATGTTTCATACTTTTGCGTCATTCATTCCTTAAATAATGGCGCCGTACTTTCCAAAGTTACAGGCATGCTTGAATTATGTAGGTTCTTAACATCAGCCCGATCGACTTTAATTTATCGCGAGTATCTACATATATCATTCTCTTACTGTTGTCATCCATCACCGAAATAAACTTTTATTAAGAAGATTTGATTCTGATTATTTTTATATAAGAACGAAGATTCTTGTAACAGCTTAGTAACAGTCAATATATAAAATATTAAAAGTAAATAAAGTATTAACATGTACCTGACAACCGGTTTCTACGTTTGCGTACATTCCCGGTACTACCGGAACATGTGCGCAGGAAAAACTCGTGGGCGGCACCGTGTGATAGAGAGGATAATCAATTCCGGGGATTCCGGGAATCTTGCTAAAGTCCTGATTTTTCTTCGGCTCTTCTTTCACGACAATGGGCTGGCGAAATCCCACTACCGGTTGATAATTCTGATATTCATCATAATAATCGTCCACTATTATTCGTCCCTAAAAATTGATAGTCATTTAGTATCGATATCATTGGGAAAGTAAAATAAAGTTATAACAAGTTAGATAGATTATCGTTCTAAATTAATTATAGAGATGTTTAATCCAAAGTTCATGTAATATAAATTCATTAAATGAAGTAATGGACGGTCAGGCGTTTTTGTAATAATGTAAAAAAGAATTCTCTTCCAACTACCGCGGATCATAATTCGCTTTCACAGTTTAGAAAAAGTTTCGAGTCCAGCAAAGTGTAACGAACCTTCGTGAAATGTTGCCTTGATTTATTCAAAGCCAAGGACATTTCTTTATATCATCTCTTTATGTCATTGTATTACAAAGCAAACTGATTTGATGTAACTTTTAATTTCAAGAGATGGGATAAATGTTAGTAGAAATACGTAGCGCAATGCAGTGCGCACATACACATACATATATGTGTAAAGACTGTAAAGGGTACATGTGGTATATGATACATATATGTCATCATTGCTATAAGATTAATTATTTGTTAAAATGGTGTAATTAAATTACATATATTATATTTCAGAAAAATATCGATCCACTATTTGATGATTTATTTTTGTAGAGAGAGAAAAGCAATTCACAAATATCCTAGTGATGTACATGTAAATTTATGCTTTTCTAAGAAAAAAGAAACACTTGTTAGCTAGTTCTTATTCAATACTTTATAAATCCTTCATAAAATGTGTATCGGAAATTCTCAGTTACAATTCTTTGTAATACATATCACAAGTATTACTGAAGGAGAAAAAGGCAATTTAGTTTTTTTGGCGATGAATTTATGCTTTTCTGAGAAAAATACTTATTTGACAGTTTTTAGTCAATAATTTATAAATCCTTCATGAAATATGAGTCTCAGAAATAATACAATTTTTAGTTGTAACCATCTATATTACGCATTACAACTATTTTATTAAAATGTTACGAAAATACAAACCATTGCAAGTAAGTACTGATTACATTTTAAGGATATCTTGTTCATTAAATATAGTTTATAATATATAAATTTTAGAGATATGCATATACAGGGTGTCCAAAATTCGCGAATCAAAATATCATAGTGAAAAAGTCTTCGAAAAATTAAGTAAAAAAGTTCTTTGTAAATTTTTAATTTAAGCAGTAGTTTTTGAGATATAAAGCGGCGTTTACAATAGGCATAAACTGTAGGATTAAAGTCTCCTTAAGCGGCGTCTAAAATGGGCAGTAGCAGTAATAGATTAAAGAGTAACACATCGGAATAAGCTGGTTTTTCGATATAACAGGGTGTAGAATAAGTCCGTAAGCGAAATGGTTGAAATCTATTTCCTACGGCGACTTTTTTACTCTCACCCAATGAGAGCTCAGCAGTAACACAAAACGCGCGCAATAGGAATCGATGCAATTTTCACATTGGTTTATTGTAACCTTTACTTATATATCATTGTAGTTACTCGGACATAAGGGGACTTTAATCCTACAGTTTACTCCTAATGCTTACTCTTTAATCCATTACTACTACTGCTTATCGTAGACGCCGCTTTATGTTCGAGTATCTAATCATGTATACCACAATACATACGTATGACGAAATGTATGACATTTAACTGTTATATGCATCATCTCACAATCATCTTTATTTAACGTAAAGATTACTTTTATTGTAAGATTGTAGTTCATTGGCGACGGTTACATTGTTGGAAAAATTATTGTCGACTTTAATTTAACAATCCGTTATAATATTACTGCACCTAATTGTATAGCGTAAAGTATGAAGTAGGGTATAGAATAAATTCATAGAAATATTTGCATCACCTATTTTCTGCCGTACTTTCAATCAAAGTATATTGGATCATCCGGAGAGTAAAAAAGTCGCCGTAGGAAATGGATTTCAACTATTTCGCTTACGGACTTATTCTACGCCCTATTACACCGAAAAAACAGCTTACTCCGGTGTGTTACTCCTTAATCTATTACTGCTACTGCCCATTTGTAGACGCCGCTTAAGAGTTTAAATTTAACCAATTATAGATT